GGGTGAATGTGGGAAAGAAAAACAAAACCAATTCCTTGCCACCAGTTGACTAATGCCTTGCTAGTCCCAGAGCAGTGGTAGCCCTGCTTTCGCACTAATTTTTTGTGCTGAGATGTCATGTATGTCCCTCTGGGCAGCTGGATCAGCTCTGAAAGTGCTGTGTGTATATCAATGATGTTTTCATTATGTATCCAAAGCATGGGTTCATGATACTTGATAGGAAGAAAAATAACTCTATCCTACTTAAAATCAGGGCACCTATATAGCTGGTTCTAGAGAAAATAGTCTGAGTTAATGTCATATCCATATCTAGCAAGAGTTACCTGTTCTAGTGCAGTCATCTCTTGCCACCGCATACTGTACTGCACTACATAAACTCAGCTGAAACACTTGCCCGTCTTCATCTCATTTGTGTGTTGAAGGCATTAGAACTTAGACCTGACTAAGGGTATGATAGGTATGCTTGTCTGTAGATCTGAACAGCACAGGAAAGCTACTACAAATATTCCAGCAGCTCAATTAATGTTACTTCCTCTTTTTATGACTAACAAAAAGACTGGATTAGAAAGCTGCCGTACAGTGGCTGAAGAAGATTGGCCAGAAATAGAAAATATGTTTCCTTTGGATCCTCAAGGTAAGAACTATTGATATAATTAATAAAGTTAACAGTAAGGCTTTCATGTGTGGTGGCATTGTTCTAAGAATTTGTCCAAGCTACTGTGGCACACAAGCCAGCATTGCATTTCTCCTGAGTCTTTTTTGAAACATAAGGGTGCTTGCTGCTTCTGAAATACTTAAACAGGAATGACATGGTAATGTATTGGGTTTGCCTCAGATGTGTTTTTCTGAGTCTCTTGTTGTGGTGACAGGAAACAAGTTCCAAATCACCATGTATTAGCTTCTTAGTTCATTACATAGTGACCAGTTGACAAATATTCAAAGGAATACAGAAGAGCATGTGCCAAGATGATTTGTAGTCAAAGAGATTCCTACTGCTATAGGATATAGTAGTTGAAGATGAAACTTCTAAAGCTGTTCTTAGGCCAGCCCATTTTAGATATTCTATCTCAGTCCTTCAAAGTGTGTCCTTAAAGCTTTCCTCTTCATGTGGATGTGTGTGAAAACTACCATGCCAAGGACTGTGGTGTTGATGAAACATACATGCTTTGCTTGCTGAAGTTACTGCTTTACATTATCAGTTCTATTAGGCAGTCTAGGATTGGTGTATGGGATTTCATGGACAACTAAAATGTGTAACTGCAAATAAATACCCTGTAAGAGGAGACTGTATTGTTTAAGATCATTTCATTTAGTGTAGAAGAGTTTGCAGCTTCCTAGGCTACTGCACACTTACAGTCTTTCTTAAACAGACTTTGAGAGTTTTGATCTTCCTGAAGAACACAAACTAAGCAATATCAGCCTGTGTGGTGTTCCCCTCATGGTATTTGAAAGGACATATGACAAATGTGTGAACACGGTTCCTTCACCTGTGAAAATTGAAGAGATTTCATGGGAATCCAGTAAGTGGAAACTTTGCATGATTTTCAGTACACACAATGCTTATCAGTGGTTAGAGCAAAAAGCCAGTTGGCTCCAGCAGTGAATTGCTGTTGCTGTCTAAATTGCCAGAGCAGTGCACCAGTATCAAACAGCTTCTGCTGTGTAGTTAAGCCCAATGTACCTGGCCAACACTGCCAGTTCAGGCAATTATCTGAGTGGTGTTGCTGACTTATGACTTAACACAGCTGCAACCAAGCACCACGTAACTGCTTACTTGCTCCCCTGCTGTGGGCTGGGGAAGAAATCAGAAGAGAAAATATGAAAAAACTCATGCTTTGGGATGAAAGCAGTTTTGATAACTAAAGCAAAAGCAATGCATTTAAGAAAAGTAAGACAAGGAACTAATTTGGTTCCCATCAGCAGGTACGTGTGTTCAGCATCCTTACAACAGCAGGGCTCCATCACATGCAATGGTGGCTTGGGAAGACGTTAACTCCAAATGTCCCTCCTTGCTTCTTCCCCCAGCTTTATCTGCTGAGCATGACACCATATGGTCTGGGATATCCCCTGGGCCCCTTGGGGTCAGCTCTTCTGGCTGTGCTCCCTTCCAGATGTTTGAGCACTCCCAGCCTCCTCTTTGCTGATGGGGTGAGGAGCAGAAAAGGCCTTGACTGCTGAGCAGTGCTCACACAACTAAACCATCCCTGAACTATGAACACTGCTTCCAGCACAAATCAAAAACACGGCCCATACCAGCAACTGTGAAGAAAATTAACTCCACCCAGTGAAAAGTATCTGAGCAATCTTTTGTGATGCATTGCAAACTGATCAGTTAGGTGGCATTGGCTTATACAGTGAAGCAATATTTCCCTTGCTTATTCAAGAGGGTTATGCTGAGCTGCTGGGAGCTAGCTTATGTTAATGTGCATTCTGAGTCTGAGAAACTGATTTGATTTATTTCTAACTTCCAGACTTGCTACAATCAACTGCTGACTTCCTTGCTACGCTGGATGAGATCATTCACATGCCAGCTCCAAATTATGATGTTTAATGTTGTGTTCTGAAGTTTCTTTTGAGGTTGAATTTCATATAGCTCTATATTTCAATAAAGGCTAGTTTAACCTATAGACTATTGTATTTGTCCTTTCTCAGTGAGCCCAAGATGTAGGTAGTAAAACAGAGCTTTGAGGAGGAGGTTATCTGACCAGCTTTTATTTTCCTCATCTCATTTACGTTTCAACTCCTCTGAGATTAAAGGGAAATGCACATTCCTGAGACCTTCTAGGACAAAGCTGTGATGAGACTCCAGCTGTGGATGGAATTTCTTGCTCTTGGTGATTCTAAGAGTTCCCAGTCACAAGACACTCACTGTCTTCTCTATGGAAAATGTAAACTTGTGGCCTCAGAGCTGCAAGCCTCCTTGGTGTCAGCCCATGAAGTGCTGATACAGGAGCATTGGGAGTTTTGTATTGTTTCAGGTAGGTGACTAAAAAAAAAAATCAATTACCTTAACTGCTTTAATAATCCATCCTGTGTGCAGTGTTCTGGCTGTGGGTGTCCCCATAGCAACAGCCTTGTTAGAGCTTCTCCTCCTGGAGCCTGAAATTGGTGCCTGTGCTGGTGCTTACCTTTGGTACCTCATACACAGTGTAGGTGGCTGTGATGGCTTCATCACCTCATTAGTGGGAAATGGAGGATAAGAGTGGGCACTAAAGAATTCAGAGTGCCTTTACCCTGTGACTACAGGGAACGGTCCATCAGCCAAGCACTTTTTATCTTCTGTTGTTTAAAATGAACAGAAGTGAGGAGTGTGGAGGCAATTGGCCTCTCTCTGGTTAGCAAAGCCATGAGTCCCATAACTTTGAGTTTCACTACAGTTTTACTGGTGCTAGCACAATACTGTAGTAGAAATGCAGTAATGCCCTCCTAAGTACCCTTAGAGTGATGCTGTGTTCTGAGAAACCAGGGCACTGACTCCTCCAGCATGTCTGTAATGAGGTTTATATACAGGTTATATAGAGAGTATATATTTAGTTGGGATCTAAATGTGTCAGATCCCAGTTATTTTTGCATATAACTGCAAAGCATGCAAGAAATGTGTTTTTGATAAATTTACTTCTAACTGCAGTCTGGGAAAAGGTTAAAGCATGGTGGGCCTGTTGTGCTCAAATGAACTACAAAGTTAGAGGAGAAAAAGTTATAAAATGGCCATAAATGTCTCCTTGCTGTCAGAATATGGAGAATGCCAGGATGACAAAGGAGTGTGCACACAGCTTATTGGAGTGGGTGTTTTGTTACCTTTAAGAGGGGAGGTAATCTCTCCCAGTTAATGAAGTTGGAGGAAGGTTCCTGGAGTTCTTGGTAATTTGGTTTGATTTTTTTTTTTTTGTACTAGCCAGATTATTTCCATTAACTATATGGAAGGTGGAGCCTTTGGAGGAGTTCAGATGTTCTTCAGTAGCTCAGACTGGGCTTTCTTCCAGCATTTCAGCCCAAATATGTAACCAGTGGGTAAAAGCATCTTGTAAGACTCTCTATCACAGAGACACTTTAAGTGCAGTACTGTGGGCTCCAGTAGAAGTGGTTCCCCTTCCTATTAGTTCAGGTACAAAATTGAGATTATGATGTGTAGGGGGGGCTGGGGAGAGGGAAAGAGCTTGGAGTGTATACAAACACACACACTGAAAACTGTTCTGGGTCAGTACTTTTCCTTCAGAGCTGAATTGTTTGTTTAAGGGCATATATTGAGTATGTCCCTGATGTATATATCATATGATTATCATATCATATTCAACTGCTCCTGAGTGGAGCTGCACAGGAGGCCTTGGTGTGCTTGGGTAGGGATGGGAGGGGATCAGCTGGTGGCTTGCTGGTTAGGGCTGCAAGGAGGAGGAATACTGGCTAGCAGACAGTCCTCTGGATGAATAAAATCTTCCCTCCTTTGGGCTGTGATTGGAGGAGTCTCGTTTCCTCTCTGTTCCTGCCCTGCTGATGCTTTCTGCTCTCAGGCTCGCTCTCTCTGTTTCTGGGTGCCTGGCCCCATGTCTGTGGCTGGGTGTCTGCGGTAGAAGGGGTTGGTGCTTGCTGTCCCTCTTGCTCAGGTGTGACTCACTTAGTAACTCATTTGAAACCTTCCTGTTTTCTAACTTTTGACTTCAAAGCAAAGCTATTTATGAAGCTTGATAGAAAGATTGTACTGTGCTGCCTGGTGCTACTTTGCATCACTTTCTTTTCACTTGAGTTGGCTGAGAAGGCAGCAGTGGAATATTTTTTACCTGTTGAAATGCTGCATTCATCTCAGGGAGCGCTGCTTGTCTCAAGGGCAGGGTGCAGGCAAGCCGAGGACTTGTCCCAAGGAAGGAAGCATGAAAGGAGATGGGGACCAGGATGCAGTTGTGGGAGCAAGTCTCTTGGTGCACTGTGGTTTGTGTGGGGTTTGACTCTGTTGCACTGGCTCTCAGACTCTTGTTTTCACAGATGTTAAAGGCAGTCACAGGAAAATAAGAGAACGACAAACCTGAGTAGAAAAACTCTGGCAGGGTTTTAAGGCACTGGGGCGAGCAATGTGGCTGTCATGAGGGACACAGAGCAAACTGCAGGAGCTTTGGGCTTTTCTGCCAACACCCCAGCCTTCTATGCAGCTGTGGAGTAAAAATCTTCTTTTAGGATAAGAAATATGTGCATGCGCTCATGTATACAAACAGGCTCTAGGGGGAAGGTTAATGCCTCTGTATGAATCTCTTCAGGCATTTCCTACTGGGAACATTTCCCAGTTTAGACAAACGTCATGGAGGGTGCTGCAGCTCTCCTGTCTTGGCATGTTCCTCCCTCTTTTGTGAGCCCTGTCCATGAGCAGAGCTTTGGCTTCTGCACAGGTCATCAGGAGTACAAAGAAGAGCTATTTCCACCATCCCCTCTCCTCTCTGCTACCCAGAGCATGCCTGACAGCTCTTTGATGCTTGCATAAGAGGTAGGAGCATGGTGTCCTAATTTATATGCCTGTCACAGGGGGTGGTGAAATGGCTAATCAAATCCCACTGGCTTGTGGTATGACCATAGCCTTTGTAAATGTGCAAATTGCTCTGTGAAAGGTGCATGTTATAAAGTATTTCCTCAATTTCTCTGTCATCTCAAGCTCTCTTCAGTGTATTGGGTATTAAAGCAAAGAGACAGAAATCAGAGGGAGAGCTCATCAAATTTGTAAGTCAATTCAGCTTAAGGAAACCAGACAACTAGATGCACAAAAGTAAAGAATAATATATGTTTGTGTATAAGGCTCTGAATCACAGCAAAAGATCCACAGAACTAACCTTTCATGGGAAACCAAGTGAAAGTTTGCTTTTAAGAGTATTGAAGAAGAAATTCCTGTTTTTTTCAAAAGTAGCGTGGATTTTGCTGTAGTTTTCAGTAGGACTTAGCTCTAGCTCTTGGAATTCATAACTCATACCTCACTGCCTGTCACAAAGAACTACTCTAAGCAGGGATGAAAGATTTATGAAAGCATGCATGAAATGACTATGTCTGCTCTGCTTTCTGAGGGCTGTATTTTTATTGAAGATACTTTATATAGAGGACATAATTTATCTCTGATACCTGCATGTTTTATACTTCTGTAAAGATTTTAACTACCTTGGGAGTTTAACTACCTCCCTTCTGGAAGGACCTTCTCCCTCATTGAAAGAAGGAAGTCAGCTTCTTCTGTTGATAAGGAATACAGTGAACAACTGTAAATAGAGCAGAGAAGCTGGAATTATCAGGTGGTCTTGTACCTGAGGTGTGATTTAGTGCCCTTAAAATTAACTGCATCACCACTCATGTGTTTCTGAGAGTGCTGTACTCAGGGCTGTAGTGTTACCTTGCTTGGCTTAACATAACATTGCCTCAAGAGATTCCAGACACTCAGGCTGAGACCTAGAGTTCCTGTCAAAAAAGAATTCAGTTAGTCAAAACTTTCCAGATCAGATGCTAAGATAGTAAAAAATGTCCTGACTGATGTCAGCTGTCAGGAGCAGCACACAATATACTGCCAGTCTATTCTACTATGCACAAACTTTATTTTCCTTGCCCCTGCTTTGGTCCCTGCATTTGCTTCACTGCCTGTCCTGTCATCCTTGCTCTCTAAAGGCCCCTGTAAATGTTTTGGTTTTACTCCACACTTTCCTGCTTTTGCTTGGAAGATGTGCTGAGGACTGAGGAAAGTGCTGCTCTCACCAAGGGAGTTGGATTCTGTTCAGCTGCTTTCTGCTTGAGGTTATCCAGCTGTGACACATGTAGACAATGACACCTACATTTTGGGACACAGGAAACTTGAATTATCTTTAATTAAAGAACCAGCAAGGATGTACTGCTCAGCAGGGAATATATTAATTTAGTTCAGCATCTTCTACAGAGAGGTTTTTAAATCTGAGACTAGAGTGAGGCATTTTGAAAGTTGTACAAGTGAGCACTGCAAACACAGCTGAATCTCAGCCTGAGATTTCACTGTTCCTCTCTGTGTGCAATGACTCATTCAAATCCATTTAAGCATCCTTGTTGATAAGTCCTACTAGAGTCTTGGCTTCTCTGTGCTCAAACATGACCCAGGGCAGCATCTGAGAGCTCAGACAATGGTATTTTTTAGCCCATCAGATCTCTCATGCTGGTGAAAAGCAAAATCTCAGTTTAACATGCTTTTGCGATTTGTCTTTGTTATATATATATTATAATTATATATAAAATATGTATATTTATATATATTTTTTGATGTGGGTATTAAAATGATGAGTGGTTTTGTGTCTGAAACCTCTGCTCTAGTGAATTGTAACTTGTGTATTTAGCCTAGTTGAAGATCTGTAAACCAGATCTTGGGATGAAACAAAAGATGGTACATATTTCTGCCCTGAGAATGGAAAATCCTTAGGGCTACTCAGAGGAATGTGGTTATTAACAATAAATATCTTTCAAATTTTCCTCTTTTTCCAAGGTAGCTGACACATACATGTGCATGCTTTTGTGGTAGCCCTTGGGGTGAGTGCAGCAGAAAACATCAGAGGTGTCATGGAAAGTGTTTGATATAGTTTTTTTTTATGCTGGGAGTGTGCTCTCTCTGCTTGCAGACATGCAATACATGGGAAAATGTTCTTGGTTG